TCCCCCGAGCCCAGCCAGGAACCGTCCCTCTGGAACAGCTTCCCACTGACCGCAGTGCAGAGGACCACAGCTGCGAAGGGCCATCAGGGCTATTCCTGGCAGGATGGTTCCGGGATGCTCGGAGACAATCCGGGGGTTTCCAGCTTTGCCCAGTGACGAGATGTTGGCGCAAGACAGACGGACAAATGCCCGGGGCTCGATCCACCACGTGCACGAATCCGGAGTCACCGCTGTGGTCCTGCCCTCGACAGTACAAACGCTGGCGCTGCATGTGGAAACCTGAGCCGAAAAAAAAGAAAATAAATGTATTCTTTCCCCCCTTCCTTCCCGCTGGGCTTCATTCTAGGGCAGGAACCGCGTCCCTTCTTCCCTCTCTCCTCCCAAACAAGTGACTCTGGAGCACGGGCTGTCGGCAAATCCGCATGTTTTTGCAAATCCCCGCGAGTTCAAAGACAACGTGCACAGCGTCGGGGGCTGCCAGTGCCAGGAGAGCCCCGGGCACGACTGCTGAGCGATGCTCCAGCTGAGCGATGCTCCAGCTGCGTTGGTTTTATCCAGAATCTGGGCCGAAGAGATTTCGGCAATGTTCTTCTTCCGAGTTTGCGATCTGCATCTCCCCTTTCCCCTCCCAGAGGGGAGCGATCCGCCGGCTTCTCGAGTTATCCTGGAGCATTTAAACAAACTTATTAATGCATTCCAGTATTTCGGGAGGAAAACGGGGTTAAATTCCTAGCTTTGGAATTGCAGAGCAACCAGGACCGCAGTTCTCTGGCTCCCAGCCCGCTCATCTTCTCCGGCTTCCTTACTTGGGAGGCTGAGTTTTGATGGCAGGACACGTACAGCAGATATGGAAAAAAAAAAAGGTAATGGAGGGACAGAGATTCCCAATTCCAGGGTGAGAAGAAGGGCTGAAGAGGCGTTTGCATCTCCTTCCTGCCCAGAGCGTGCACCCCATCTGCATCCAGAGACGGCATCTGCAAGGACACGTAATCCGTTGGTGGCTTTTAATTTCAGTCCATGAAATTCCACGTAGGACTTTCTGCCTTCTCTTCTCCTCCTTGTCCCGTTCTCCCAGCGGCCTGTTTTGGGGGCAGAAACTCTGTGTGGTCCCCAGAGGGACGGGGTGGATGACATCCACGACCACGTCCTCTCCGCCAGGCGAGGGGGCCGAACGAGCCGTACCTCCGAACAAAACCGAAACACCCGGAATAAGAGGCAGATCCAACAGCTGGTCCGTCTGTTTATTGCCATTCAAATACTAAAAATCCCTCACAATGTAACACAGAGTTTGATTTCAGATTCTTCCGCCACTGACACTACCAGGTTTTAGTGGGAAATTATATATATTTTTTTAAATTTTTGTTTAATTATCAAAGATTTAGAGTCACAATAAATGCGAGTGACAAAACCAGACCCTGCGCTGGCGTAATTCTTCTCTGTTACACTCCTTTGTTCAAGGATTAGAAATTCTCTTTTTTCTCATTTAAAAAAAAAAAGCACAATGCAAGTTAGTTCACTAAATGCAATATTCAGCGTAACTCTGCCTTACTGCAGTTCCTTGAGGTCTTTTTGCATTATATATATATATTTTTTAATACATTTAAAAAAAAAAATGCCTTCTGCACCCCCTCCTTCCAAAAGCAGAAGTGACAAATGAGCCAAACGAGGGTTTCTGACGAGCCCTGCCTACGCCTGCTCCCTTCCACAGCCCCAGTCCCCATTTTCCATTCTGAACTGGACTTTGGTCATTTTTTTTTTTTTTTTCTCCTTAGTAAGCAAAAAAATGTGACAACTAGGTCTGAGAATTCAGAGGTAAATGAACAGTT